TTATAAGTTGGTTATGGACTATTTGTGTCAAAATTCTTTTGCGCAATTGGCAGGGTTTCAGAGAAACCCACCAGAGACCACCTGGAATCTACACTGAACTGGCATTCGGTACCAATAGGGGCCCATTGAGCACCCCCCACCCCAGGTCACTGCATTCTTCAGGTGTCCCTGGTGAGTTCTCCTGAAACCCAGATCTCCTTATTTTAAGCAATGGTCCAGAGTTTATGTGAGCTGTTTCAAACCTTAAGACTCGGTGTCTTAAGGGGTTACTGGTACATAGCCTAGGTAAGAGGAAGTTAGGGGGAATTCCTAGAAAAGAGAACCCTGGGGGAATGTCCTTGGCCAGGGGAGCCTAGGGGGAACTTTGGAGTGAATGAGACAGGCTCACCTTTTAATTTGAGTTTAAATTGGAAAGAATTGTGTTTATAAAGTCTGAGCAAACTGCTTGATAGAGAAATGAAAGACTGAATGTGTTCAGCTCCAAAGAATAGGGACACAGATCCTCCCAGCTGAAGGACATTCTCAGGTGACCCAGAAGCTTAGTGGCAGTGTTGGAGGGTCAAATTCCTCACTATGGATAGTGGTCCTATAGGGAACTCCACTGTCATTCATGTTAATTAATTAAAGGCTCATCTGGGGAAGCACATATGCGGGTTGGTCACTCAAGCTCTGAGCCCCCATGGTGGTCTTATACAGCTGGTAGGAGAAACTGAGGCATGTAAGAGAGTGTTTATAACATTTCTTTAGGGAGTAACACTCACAAGCAGCACAATTCTGACCCACTAAGGACACTGTCCTTAGAAATTCTTCAGACTTTATAGCAAAACGAAACTAAAAGAAAAGTAGGAAATTGAACCTCTAAAAGCTGACCAGTTTCCAAATGGGCAGCCTCATCTCTTAACTCCAGCTGGCTTCATGCTGAAACTTGCAAGTGCTTAACAAAATGAGGGTAGTTGTAAAAGGCTGGCAAGATAACCCGGGGGGGCTGGCCCCATGGCAGAGTGGTTGAGTTCATGCACTCTACTTCGGTGGCCCGGGGTTTCACTGGTTCAGGTCCTGGGCACAGACGTGGCACTGCTCATTGGACTGTGCTGGGGTGGTGTCCCATGTGGCATGGTCGGAGGCACTCACAACTAGAATATACCACTATATACCAGGGGGCCTTGGGGAGAAGAAGAAGAAGAAAAAAGAAGATTGGCAACAGATGTTAGCTCAGGTGCCAATCTTTAAAAAAAAAAATAACCTGTGATAATTTAAAATTCCAGTGGCCACTGTGGGGCTCCTTTTTAGGAGCCGGATAACAGAGAAACTTTTAAAGAGTTGAGCTCGCCAACTTCCGGCACAATTGCTCAAACTAAAGGTTCTGGAAGCTGTAAATATTTACAAAGAACAACAACAACAAAATCTTACCAAGCTCGTTTCATGTCCTCAGGGCTTTGCTTAATAATTGTCAGGTTGGAGGTCCCAAAATACAGTCAGACAAAATGTGGTTGCACCCCATTTTGTCATCAGAGATAGTCAGACAGAAATGTGGGCTGCACTCCATTCATGGCTAAGGGTCCCACCAAACTGCCACCAGCTTCAGGGGAATTCCATTGGCCTTTAGAAGGAATGTTCCAATTAGATAAGATCATTTGAGAAGTGCACTTAAAAGCAAAGATTTCAAAACTCCAAAATAACCTTATTGAAAGCTTGCTTGCAAAGCTAATATAAATTGTTATAAAAGATAACTAAAGGAAAATATTAGCCCATGGCTTTACAGACACCTGCATAATCTACTCCTAGAGTTAATGAGACTCTGAGAGATTTTCTGGGAAGCTGCTACGTTAAAGTTTACTAGAAGTGTTCAGTACTACCAGGTAGTTACTGTTTGTCTAGGCTGAAACCTGACAAGGTGTTTGAAAGGATTTAGCAACTTCTGATCAGAAATTCAGCCAGATTGGAAGCTGATATTCAGAGCCTGATAGGAATTTTCTTTCCAGGCCTTCTTCCCTAAGTTAAAATAAAACTAAGCACCTAGAGGGAAAAAAACAAATTAGGGTGATGCAGTTGGACAGGTAGTGCAACTGTTCTCATCTTACAAACCCTTGCAAAACTAAAAAGCAGCTCTCAAGGCAGTTCAGATTCCACTCAGTTCCTTTATCTCAAGAAGGATTATGGTCTTGCCTCTCTGGGAACTGTTTTCTAGCCCATCACCAATTCCTAAGACTGAAGAAATAAAAAGGAAAGAAAAATGGCCATAAGAGTGCCCTTGCCACATCTAATGTCTTGAGTATCTTCTCCACAAATATTAGTAGAAAAGTCTTACAACAAAATTTGGATTCATAACTAGGGAGCTTTGTGTTACTGTACCTGATTCATGGCAGTAATTTGAAGACAATAGCTGTGAAGTCTCTGTGTATGTGTGTCTATGTATGTTATATGTGTGTAATATCTTACCTCCTGATGATATGGCCAAAATTAAGAGCTTCATTTAATTGGCTTAAAGTAACCACTGCCACAAATTATTTCTAAATGTATTAGAAACTAACCCAAATGTCTTTTAGGTTAACATGATGAAATTAATCTTTGGTAGAGGCCAGCCCTGTGGCCGAGTTCGCACACTCCGCTTTGGCAGCCCAGGGTTTCGCTGGTTTGGATCCTGGGCATGGACATGGCACTGCTCATCAGGCCACGCTGAGGTGGCATCCCACATGCCACAACTAGAAGGACCCACAACTAAAATATACAACTACGTACTGGGGGGATTTGAGGAGAAAAAGCAGGAAAAAAAAAGATTGGCAAGAGTTGTTAGCTCAGGTGCCAAAAAAGAAGAAGAAGAAAAATTAATCTTTGGTAAATGAAAGCCTATTTAAGATTATTGGTTTGATTAAAATAGGCATGTCCTCAAACCTATCAGCATTGGTTATGATGCAGACATGCAGCCTTTATTCTACATTTATTGGTCAAATAATCTGGTGTTATCTCAATTACAAAACCGGTTAACAAAAAGTAATAACTTAAAATGATGGCTAATTTTGCCTAATGTCTCATGAAGCCTTGTGGACAATGTAAATAATTATTTGGAATAAGTAACTAAATAGATGTGAAAAAGATGAGTGTTGGGTGAACTTTTAATGATAATTATGTGTTATGGTTTAAGTATTTAAAACAGCTTCCAAAATCTCTTTGGTAACTTGAAACTTTGAAGTTTTGCTAGGTTAATTTAAATGATAAAAATTCATTGAGTATCTAGATCATTTACAAATAAGAGAAAATATTAGAGAGTAATTATTAAATATAGGTTTTTCTACTTTTGGCATCTTATTACAGGGAAACTAAAGGGTGTTTGAGTCTAATGGTAAATATATCTTGTGGGGTTTTTTTGTTTTTTTTTTTGAGGAAGATTAACCCTGAGCTAACTACTGTCAATCCTCCTCCTTTTGCTGAGGAAGACCAGCCCTGGGCCAACATCCATGCCCATTGTCCTCCACCTTATATGTGGGACGCCCACCACAGCATGGCTTTTGCCAAGCGGTGCCATGTCCACACGTGGGATCCGAACCGGCAAACCCAGGGCCGCCGAGAAGAGGAACGTGCACACTCAACAGCTGTGCCGCTGGGCCAGCCCCCATGTTTTGTGTTTTATTAAAAACTTGTACTATAAAGTAACATGTTTCTAGAAATTATAAAAGATACATTTAAATTTTCCAAGCCACAAAATGCTAATGTAAAAGAAAGTTTATAACTGCTTACTTCTTGGTTTTCACTAAAAATTAAGGTTTCTAAGGGTTAAAAATTCTAATATATGTGATCAAAGCTACTAAAAATTAAGGAAAATATATTTGTTTTCAAGGAAAGATGTCTATTTTCAGTAAAGAAGTTATAAAGAATGGAAATATTTTTGTTTGTTTTGTTAAGAAAGATAAATTTGTCCCAAAGTACTATGAGGAAAAAAGAAAGGCATGGGACAAATTCTGAATGCAAAAAGAAAGGTATAGAAGGTTTGTTGAAGAGGAATCCTGAGGAAAGAGTTTTATGCATGGTCAAGTTGGCTAAGATTTGAAGTAAATCTAATTAAGTAAATGAGTTTTAATGTCAGAACTAAGCTGGTACAAAAATTAGAATTTGGTTTTCTCTTAAAAAGGATAAGTTTCTAGAACTACCATATGACCCAGCTATCCCACTACTGGGTATCTACCCAAACAACTTAAAACCAATATCCAAAGTAACATATGTACTCTTATGTTCACTGCAGCACTGTTCACAATAGCCAAGACATGGAAACAATCCAAGTGCCGTCAACTGATGATTGGATAAAGAAGATGTGGTATATATATATACACAATGGAATACTACTCAGCCATAAAAAAGACAAAATCATCCCATTTGCAATGACATGGATGGACCTGGAGGGAATTATGCTAAGCAAAATAAGCCAGATTGAGAAAGAGAAACACCAGATGATTTCACTCATATGTGGAATATAAACAAACCCACGGAGAAAGAGAAAAGTTCAGTGGTTACCAGGGGAAGGGGGGAGGGGGATGGGCACAGGGAGTGAAGGGGAGCACTTATGTGGTGACAGACAAGAAATAATGTATAACTGAAATTTCACAATGATGTAAACTATTATGAACTCAATTTAAAAAAAAAAGATCCATGAGGAAAGGCAAAAAAAAAAAGGTAATTTTCCTGAACTTTTAGTCTGTTTTTGATAGAGGTTATAACAGGTTTTCTTTACTTTTGAGTGAGTCTTACTTTGGTTGAATGGATAACTAAGCATTGTTTTACAGCGACCTTTGTTTCTCGGCAACATCAGCAACCCCTTGATCTTGTTTGACCAAGTGCTTTAAAACTTTCTGATATTTCTGACAAGCCCCCCCCCCAAATTCATATCCTAAATGAAGTTTTTATTTGGACTTCAAAAAAATTTCTCTGAGAATTTTCAGAGGGCCCCTGGAACTTAAAGAAATTTGTTCTCTCTTCCTATAAAGGGGGAGATACTCATTAGGCTTGTTTGGTATGCTAAATTGCATGCGAAGCATTGTCAAGTAAATGATGATAAACCTTCTCAGGTTGTATTACATAGGTAAATATTATTCACTATCTTAAGCCTGCTACCTTGTTTCCAACATCACAAGAGGAAAAGACCATGACTGTATTCTATTATCTAATTCAGCTTAGAGATGAGACTTACTTAAACAATAAGTAAGGATGCTATCAAGTTGGATATGCTGTCCAGCCTCGAGAATGCCCACTACTTTCTTTTAACTCTGCTAACCCAGTAAAAGATTTCCTTCTAAATATTCAAAAAAGTCACCACAGAAGGAGAAATAAAGGTGACAATAAAAGGGGGAAAACAATACTTCTGGATACTTTCTCCCACAGTGACCCATAAAGCCTGTACTTGTTGCACTATATGGCCAAAGTAAAATTCAGGGAAACTATTTCATGAATCACAAGGCCACTTTCCCCTTTCTAAGGGAGCCTTTGAGGTATAGCAATTAGACTTTGTTCAAATGCCACCATCTCAAGGATAAATATATCTTGTAGTGACCTGTATGTTCTCATGTTGGGTTGAGGCCTTTCCTTGCAGAAGAGTGATGGCTTTAGGTAAATTATCGTTGGAGAGAATGGTTCCTGTGTGGAGAATTCCTATGGAGTCCCATAGTGACTGGGGAACTCATTTCTCCAGACAAATAATTAAATCTATTTGTAACATTTGGCCAATAACGCAGCATTTCTACTATGCTTACTATCTCCAATCCTCAGGATTGGTGGAAAGAGCTAATGGCAAAATCAAAACCCAATTGGCAAAGCTTTCAGAAGCATTTAATCTCTCATGGCCAAAAGCTCTCCTGCTCGTGCTCCTCAATCTTAGATCTACACCCTTTGGTGAACATCGGCTGTCCCTCTGGAGATAATAATGGAATGGCCTATGCAATTAGATGAAGGAATGTGTGAACTAACTTTGCTTAAAGGAGAGAGCTTAATTATTGTCAAGGTGTCATCGAGACACTTACAAGAATTGAGAGGTTGGTAGCTGATTCTTTTCACAGAGAGCTCCTGGTAGATGAAGACCTTAAGGATCATGGACTATAACCTGGAGAATTTATTTCTTGGAAGTGGCATCAAATAAAAGACTCTCTGCAGCCATGTTGGAAAGGACCATGCTGGGTACTTTTAACCAATTCATGCGCTGCAGAATCAAAAGGCATATGCGCTGCAGAATCAAATGGCATAGACTCATGGATTCACATTTTTCATTTAAAAAAGGTTTCTGCACCTGAGTGGCTTTCAGTTCCTGTTTCTGATACTTGACTTCAACTGACCAATGCAAATATTTCCAAACCAGGATGAAAAGAAGACAGCCTCTGTTGTAGACAGCTGTCCCAAGACTCTGGACCAGGCCTGTATTCCCGACCTTATATCTCCTCATTTAAACCTTTGTAGTGCTTAAACTGTACCTATTTTATAACTGTTCCTTTTAAGGTTTTCAGAATACTATTATACTTAGAGAAAGTGATTGATTTGGAACAGACTGGTCTCAAAGGCAGGCATTTTTTGAGTGGCTCCTAATGGAACTCACTGGTTGTGTAGAACAAATCTCTGGCCTTGGCTACTGTCTGGATGGCTAAAACACTGCACCCTGAGCTTCCCTTGGATGCAGGGAAGGAGTCACACTGAGCTAACACCTGCAACAATCTTCCTCTCTTTAAGGCCAGGTGGGCTCATTCAGTGTTCCACTGGTGTGGCCACCTAGTGGCTATATTTGTTCCTTCCTTGGGGCTAGAAGATGTCATTATCATGTATAGAAGCCCTGACTAAATTAAGTCAACAAGCCCTTAATGACAGTCAATCAGGAATAGCCTTATTAAATACTGAAATGTCCTTAATGAAAAAGGCTGTCCTTTAAAACAGAATGGCTTTAGATATTTTAACTGCATCCCAAGGTGGTACATATACAATCGTTCAGACTGAATGCTGTGTTTTCATACCAGATGAATCTTCCAATGTGTCATCTCTGCTAAAGCACGTGAAACAGCAGGTGAATGTCTTAAATGAATCTTTCGTAATTGTAAACAATGTGAACATAAGGAGTCCATTATATAACATTAAAGCCTCTTAAAGGCTTCCTCTGTTAAGGTATACCTCTATGCTTGTCTGACTGTTTCCCCCCAACATGGATAACTAGGCAAATAAGTGAGGGAAAAGCCTAGCACTGAGGTGGCAGCAACCACCCTGGCACTGAGGGATAGTATTTTGATCATCAGTGCTTTCTATCAAAAGATTATAGATCAAAAGGGGGAAAATGTGAAATGAATGGCAAGCAATAGGATATATTGGAATATTTGAGGAAGCCATTTGGGTTAAAACTAATCTGGCCTGACCTTGTGTTTCCAAAAAATGCCTGGCGTGGCCTATTGAGCATGTGTTGTACATCTGCTTTAAATATTTACTCTGTCTCAATGACAAGAATGATGCACCCAAAGATGGGAATGTAACCTCCCTCATGTTGGCGTTTCCTTTAGGATAAGCATCTCTCCCTAAACTAAGGATGCGTTACTGACCTGCTGTGATCACCTTGTGACCACTCACTTTGTGACCACTGACCTGCCGACCACCGATCTGCTGTGCCAGCTAAACATCTCATGACAATCGTAAATGGGACATTCCTATCATTTGTGATGTATGCTCTTTGTTCCAAGACAGTATATAACTACTCTGCACACCCCAATTCTTTGGTGCCCTTCCTTCCTTGGGGAAGGAAGGCCCTGGGCTAGTCCTCAGATCTGGCTCATAATATACTCACCCCAATTTTGATTTATAGATTGATTATGGATTATTTGCATTGACATTTCCTTATACAAGTTCAAATCTAAAGCTTGAGCCATTTTCAATTTCTCAAGAAACATGTGAACAGAAACCATATTAACTTTAAATATCAAGCTATGTGTTCATGTTGACAAAAAATGTTAAGATTTAATCACATAAACTAAATACCTACTTTTTATTTGGTTTAACAGTTCATTTAAATACATTCTTATTTCCTAGAGGCTTAGACTCTTAGATCAGAAAGCGTATCCTTTGTTATACTCTGAAATCAAGTTATTAGATTTAAACAGTTCACCAAACACTAGCAGAATGCTAACACCACCTGCATATGATTCTGGAGTAGAAGAAAAGAACCTCAAACTGGAAAGTCATCAAATTTAAATCCCATCCCTTTATACTTGAAGAACCTATAAAACAGCCTCCTTATAATAGTTAATGTAAATATAAACTCGTATGTTTAAAAAATATGACTTTAACTTCAATTCATTTGTTTAAACTGTAGTCTCTGGTTCCATTATAAACATATCTAATCTACTTCCAACTGACAATCCTTCTGATTTTTTAGGAAAACTGTGATATCTTTTCTCAGGTCAGCTTCATTGGATGATTTGGATGTGTAGTGGTGTTTTTTGAGAAAGAACGCTATCCTTCCAGCCTCGCGTTTCCAGTCATAAGTTCTCCTTGGCCCTGTTGAAGCACGTCCTGGAGGAAGCATTGCAAGCTGAGGGGGGAGAGATTCCAAAGGCTTCAGAGGAGACCCAGGGAGGGCAAGCCCTGGGCCTCACGTCTGGGACCTTATCATAGAGTGGTCTCATCAGAGGATGTGAGAGCCGGAAGTGACCTTGAGAACTTCTGCTTCTACTGTCTCAATTTCAGAGAACAAATTGAGCTTAGAGAAAACCTATCTGGTGCTAGAACTGGGATTTGAACTGAGAAACTGTCCCCAGTCTTGGGAAAACATTTATGTTATTCAAAATCACCTGATATGTTCTCATTAGTTATTGCTAAGGTATTCTTATAATAAAAGTGATATTGTGGATGCATGTAAATGCATAAAAATGAGCAGCAGCAGCAGCAGCATCACTTTTCACGGAGTATTTGAAAACAAAACTCTGGCATCCGCCCCAGATAAAAGACTCGAATAATTTTCTAGAAGCCTGAGGACCAGATTCTAGATCAAACTTCTAAACTGGCTTGAATCCTAGTCCAGTTTCTGGCCTCCAACCTTCCTGGTGGGAAATGATTATTGACCCTCCCCACGAGGGTGTGTGGACAGAGCGTAGATTTTGCCCCTCCTTTGGATGTTGCATGGAGAATTGGGGCCAACACTCTTCTTTGCAAGCAAGAGGCCATAATGGGAAGACAGAATCAGAAAGCCTGAATATTTGGATTTCCCCAGTGCCCCTTCTGTAAGCAACCCTCCCTGCCTGTGTGGTCAGCAGGTCCTTGGGGCAGAACACTACCAAGCGTCGTGACAGAGCTCTTGTCAGCAGCGGTGCCAGCTCCCAGGAGCTAATCCAGTTAGTGGGGTCCCCTCTTTGTTCCTCATGACAGGGCCTTCCAGGGGCTGCTCCATTGGCCAACCACAGTTCCTGAGGAGGGACTTTCTTCCAGAGTCTTCCAAGTTCCAAACTCCAGCTCCTTCAGTAACAAGATAGTTCTCTATTATTCTTTCTAAAGGCGCCCCACAGCGCAGTTCCTGCTTTGTTGCAGTGTTTTCTGACCTGTGGGCTTCATATTCCTAAGAAGCCATTGAATTACTGCAAGAACATATGAATCACTGTTACACCAAGTATGTCTGTAACCTGAATAAACAATGTTAATGACGAGTTATTGTGCTATATATTCTGCACTGTGCCAAGCCCATTGCATGCATTATCTCATTTAATCCTCACAAAAATGCTGTGAGGTAAGCAGAACGATAACCCCATCTTACAGGTGAGCAAACAGCCTCAGAGAGGTTAAATAAGTTGCTCAAGATCAGGAAGCTAGCAAATGGGTAAACTGTGTTCAGTCCAGCTAATGCAATCTCAAAGTCTACAGTCTTAACCATGCTATGTCTCTTACAAATGTGTGATCACTTTTTTACAAATATTTCTATGTGTTTTGATTAAAAAGTTATAAATTGATTTTAAAGTATTATATAATTTATCGTAGATTTTTATTATGTTGTCTTTTCATTTTTTTCCTACATTGATAGTACCTCAACTACCACATACTTGGTACATGATACAATATTTTTTTTTTTGAGGAAGATTAGCCCTGAGCTAACATCTGTCACCAATCCTTCTCTTTTCGCTGAGGAAGACTGGCCCTGAGCTAACATCGGTGCCCATTTTCCTCTACTTTATACGTGGGACGCCTACCACAGCATAGCTTTTGCCAAGTGGTGCCATGTCCACACCCGGGATCCAAACTGGCGAACCCCAGGCCACCAAGAAGTGGAACATGCGAACTTAACCGCTGCACCACCAGGCCGACCCCATATATTCATATTTTACATACGCTCATCTAAAAGGAATTCACTTAGCAAATGTGAAACTTAATATAGGTAAGTTAGAATTGTGGTCTACAGAATCAGCAGGCCCGCCACACCCGCGCCCCAGGCGTCTGAAATCTCACTGCCCATGGTCATTCCACAGGACGTTAAACACCATGGCTGCTGGCATCCTACTGTGCGGGTCCTCTGCTTGGGCATGAAAGGGGATTATAGGGAAAGTTCTCAAAGAGGCCTTACTTCTGCTTTTGATTCTAAAGAAAAATTCTGACTAATAACGTTTTAGGAAATTCTATTTCAAATTTTTAGGTTAGAATCAAGAGCTAAGTTAGATAGGAGGAATTTAAGGAACTTTTGCCCATGTGGAAATCAGCAGCTTCAAGATGGCTCTGCTCCTGTTCCCAGTGACACGGCCCAGATCTAAGAATTGGGTTTGCCGTTGCCCCTGGGCCTGAAGCCCACTGTGAGTGAAGCTGCCATGTACAGCGTGCTTTTCAGACCGAGCCCTTCCTTGCTCCGTAGGACACTTCTGTCCCAGAGTCTGCATTTCTATCCCTAAGCCCTTGGCAGTGAGGAAGCCCTGCTGCCTGCCTGCGGACTCAGCTGGTGCTGTCTGTTCAATTGTCCTGTCCTGGATCCTCCATAATCAGGCCCCGCCTCCCTATTAGAATCTCGGGTTATGTGGTGGTAAATTCTCTGATGTTTGGCTTAAGTATCACCTGTATGTTGCTCTGTTCACTGATAACCATTTTTCATTTATTCAACAAATATTTATTAAGTGCCAGGCATTTTTGTAGGACCTGGAAATATAACAGTGGACAAAATAGAAAAACAAAAAACCATGCCTTCATGGAGCTTCACATTCTAGTAGCTACCAAGGCCTGGTGAACTGGTTTACCCCCTCGTCCAGCACAGCTGGGTACTTTTCCCTGCGCCTGAAAACCCTATTTCCAGGTCCTAATTCTCTACAGTCGGCTGGCTGTCTCACTGCAGTGAAGGGAACACTCCTGTTACAGGATAAAGAGTATCATATGAAGAAAGCGCACACCACCAAAAGCAAGTACATAGGGGTATCACAAACCTAGAAATCAAAATGTGTTGAGGTTTGCAAAAGTACAGGGAACAATAAATACAACTTTCCAAGTTTGATTGAGAAAGAGGAACAAAGAGGCAGCGGGCGCTTTGGGTGGAGTCCAGGCAGCAGTGATCTATTGTTGAAAGATTACTTAGGAAAAACCATGCTGTTCAAGGTCGGTTTTACTTCTGTCTTCTTAGTGAGGAGAGTAGGGAGGGGCGTGGAGGACAGGAGAGACACATCAGCAAGAGAAAGAGAAGCCCAAGGCGGGAGAACCCAGTTACTCTAAATAGCCTCCCAGCTCTAATAAATTGCCTCCCACTATTCTGTGAAAAATGGTCAAATTACATTGCTGATCTAATCTGTAAAGAAGTAGAACTACAAGGAATGGTAGAAAAGCTGGTTTCCTGGAGATGGGTAAGTACCATCCCTATTTTCAAGAAGAGATATGGCAGTGGCAGGTAGGTCTGCTGTGGGAGAAAGATGTTGGATTTTTAAAGAGTTGGCTTGGAAGCTTCTGAGTAAGGAGTGGGCAAACCGTGGCCCATAGGCCAAATCTGGCCCACTGCTTATTTTTGTAAATAAAGTTTTATTGCAGTGAAGCCATGCTCATTTGTTTACAACTGTTTTCACGCTACAAAACGTTTTTGAGAAGGTACAACACAGATCATACAGCCTGCAAAGGCCTATTTTTACGTGTGTAATTTTTCTGAAGAAGATGATTAGCCCTGAGCTAACATCTGCTGCCAATCCTCCTCTTTTTGCTGAGGAAGACTGGCCCTGAGCTAACATCCATGCCCATCTTCCTCTACTTTATATGTGGGACGCCTGCCACAGCTTGCCAAGCGGTGCCATGTCCACACCCAGAATCTGAACCGGTGAACCCCAGGCTGCTGAAGCAGAACATGTGAACTTAACCGCTGCGCCACCAGGCCGGCCCCCAGTATGTGTAATTTACTATATTTACTATGTGTCCCTTTATAGGAAAAGCTTGCTGATCCTTGTTCTAGGTAAAGAAGCATTGCACACTAGGACTTGAGAGTGCTGAGAACAGTTATGGCCAATGAAACAATATTTTTTTGATCGGGTTTACTAGATATACAGATCAGGGAAATGTTGTTCACACTGAGCACCTGGTCTTCACTAAAAATTCAACCACCATGTCTTGAGTGCTTAATATAAGCCAAACACTGGGAGTGTAAAGATGAATGATTGTCTGGTAGAGGAGGCACATACATAAAAGGATAATTCAAAAAGCAGTAGTACTTACTATGAGGAGTATGTCCAGAATGGTGAGCGAGCTTCCAGGGGGAGTTTACCAATTAGAAGAAGACAAGGTCCAAGTTGAATACTGAAGCCTGAGCGGGAATCAGCTCCTTGAAGCATGGTATTAGAAGCAGAGAGACCCGCTTCAGCAGTGGTCCAGGGCACAAGGTAGCATGCTTAGTGGGAGAATAAAACTTGGTGTAATAGTGTTATAAAGTGAAAAGTGAGAAATGGCACAGGATGAAGGTTGAGGCCAGGTTCAGAGAAAAAAATTTTGCTATGCTGATGAGCTTGGGCTTGATTATAGAACTAAAGAAAAGCTATTGAAGCATTTTAATTGCTGGAGTAAAACTGTCAGATTTGCAAATTAGACGAGCCCGTCTGGCAATGGTGTGAGTCAAAAGAGGAAACCAGGAACCCAAGTTGGGGGTTATTGATAGAATCCAATCGAGAAGAGGGTAGTGCCTGGATTGGGTGGTGATGGTATGGGTTGAGAGGAGGAGCAGATCTGAGACGTAGAGGTTACAAGGTAGGCGTAATTTAGTGACATTGGATCTAGTGATAAAGAGTATGATAAATCAAGAATAACTCATGGATTTCTGGCACGGTACCTTCATAAATGATGTTATCAGAAGCTGATATGGGGAAATCAGAAGGAGAATCAGGTTTGGGCAGGGGAGAGACGATCAATTCGCTTCTGAACTTGTGGGTTATCTATTTGGAGATCTTCGGCAAGCAGTTATAATATATGATTCTGAAACTTAGGAGGAAGATGGGGCCAGTTAGCCATTAGTGTACAAGTAGTGGTTAAAAATGTAGTAGAAAGCATGTGGATTAAAAAAGCATGGCTCCGACAAAGGGTTAATCTCCATAATATATAAAGAACTCACACAGCTCAACAACAAAAAATCAAACAACCCAATCACAAAATGGGCAGGGGACATGAACAGATATTTCTCCAAAGAAGATATAAGGATGGCCAATAGACACATGAAAAGATGCTCATCATCACTAATCATCAGGGAAATGCAAATCAAAACTACACTAAGATATCACCTTACACCCGTTAGATTGGCAAAAATATCCAAAACCAAGAGTGACAAATGTTGGAGAGGCTGTGGAGAAAAAGGAAGCCTCATACATTGTTGGTGGGAATGCAAACTGGTGCAGCCACTATGGAAAACAGTATGGAGATTTCTCAAAAAGTTAAAAATAGAAATACCTTATGAGCCAGCCATCCCACTACTGAATATCTATCCTAAGAATCTGAAATCAGCAATTCCAAGAGCCCCATGCACCCCTATGTTCATTGCAGCATTATTTACAATAGCCAAGACATGGAACCAACCTAAGTGCCCAGTAACTGATGATTGGATAAAGAAGATATGGTGTATATATATATATATACACAATGGAATACTACTCAGCCATAAAAAAGGACAAAATCATCCCATGCACAACAACATGGATGGACCTTGAGGGTACTATGTTAAGCGAAATAAGCCAGACAGAGAAAGACGAACTCTGTATGACTCCACTCATAGGTAGAAGTTAACATATAGACAAGGAGAACTGATCGGTGGTTACCAGGGGAAAGGGGGGTTGGGGGGAGGGCACAAAGGGTAACCTATACAGGATACCAAGAAGGAACTGTTAAAAAGTCAGGAAGGGGGCCCGTTTTCCATAAATTGCTTATGAAAGTGGATAAATATGGTCTGGATACATGTAAAATAAGGTAAATTGAAACCATTTGAGTGAGCATCTCTAAAGGTGCTGATGAATGCCCAGTGTCAGCCTGCAGGGAGGACCCTAGTGGAGTAGCAAGACTCTCCTCTGTATTCAACATTTCCATCAAGGTCTTAGATTAAAGACACCCTCCTTAAACGTTTGGACTGTGGGAAGCTAACAGGAACAGAAAATATATCAGATAAAAGAATTAAGATGTGAGAGAATTTTGACTGACCAAAGCCACAGGCTCTATCTAATGAAATAAAATTTAAAAAGGATTCAAGTTTCCACAGCATAAGTACAGGATGGGGTAATGTGCCTTAGCAATTGCTTGTAGAAAGAAAAAACTTATAGGAACTAGTTGATATTTAACTTAGTATCAGTCAACAGCATGAAATGGCCGCTAAGCAGAGGTAGGGAGAGTTTAGACTGATTAAATTGGATCAGAGTATCTATAACAGTGGTCCTCAAACTTTACTGTGCATGAGAATCAACTGGGGGATTTTTACAACTCCTTCTGCTCAAGCCACACTCCATATCAAATAAGTCAGAATCTTAAGGGGTGCGACCTAGACATCAGTATTTTTTAAAACTTCCTAGATGATTCCAATGTGCAGCTAAATTGGAGAACAAGTAAATAGAACTGAGAGCAAAAAAATAGAATAATGGTTTCTAACTGGGAGCAGGAGACATTAGAAACACCTGAGAGTATGTTTTTCAAAATACCCACGGCAGAGGCCCTTCTTCCCAAGGTTGTGATAAGCCTTTGGGGTTGAAGTACTCATGTACCACATGCCTCTACCCAGGTTGAGAACCATTGGTCTAGAATAGCTCTACCTTGCACTGCTCAGATCACACCTAACGTCCTGAATCTGTTCTGGCTGCCTCTCTTTAAAAAGGCTGTAGACTAGAAGTCTCAAACTGGTGGCCACAGGCTGGATCTTTGGTCCTGGGGGACAGGAGGAATGGTGCGGGTGTGGAGGGGTGGTAGCTAAAAAGTGAAATATTGCCAATATTTTAAAAATCAAGAAATTTCATATAATCTTGGTTTTCAGGTTCTCTTAAAAACTGGTAAGATCTGGCAAATCTGAGCCCATCTTCCCCTTGCAATAATCATTTGGAGATGAGTAGCTGCCGGCCCCTTTAGAGGCCTGTACCCTCCAGCCTTCAGCTCACTTATTTACATTTTCAGACAAGCTCTCATAGATGTTTGAGTTGGCTACCCATCCTATAGACCAATGGATCAGGTTCTAGGAAAGGGAGCAGGAAGGTGGAAAAACCTATAAATCATGTCATGTAAGGAGGGCTTTTAAATATCTGGGATATTAGATAAAAGAGAAAACTCAGGAGGGTTCTTCACATTCTTAGAGCATTGAAATGTGGAAGAGGACTCGGACTTGCCCAGGCCCAAGGGGAAGAAATAGGACTGATGAGGATCAAGGCTGCCCAAGGGAGAGAAGCCCAAGGCGTCCTGCCCTACATACCGATCTATATCATCCTCCCGGAAGCGCAGGACATCCTCCTGACCTGATCCGATCTGAGTCTTATCTAAAGTTATAGGACCACCCAATAATCAGACCCCACCTGCACCTGCACTGATACCATTTTAATGACTTTTTTACATAATCTTTCCTTTGTCTTGTAAAGACATAACTCACATACCTAAGCCTTAAATTTAGTCCTACCCTCAACCCATGTTTGAAGCTCTTCACTGTCCATGGGTCCTGTCCCCTAGATGCTCCATGCTATTCTCTGAATAAAACAGCACTATTGCCAGGCCTTTAAAGATTTTATTTTCCATTTTTCTCCCAAAGCCCCCCTGGTACATAGTTGTGTATTTTCAGTTGTGGTCCTTCTAGTTGTGGCATGTGGGATGCCACATCAGCATGGCTTGGTGAGTGGTGCCATGTCTGCACCCAGGATTCAAACCAGCGACACCCTGGACAACCGAAGTGGAGCGTGAACTTAACCACTTGGCCACAGGGCTGGCCCCACTGCCAGACCTTGAGAGTCCAAGAAATCTTTCTTGTAACTCCTCAGCTCATGGAGCCCACATCATGTCTTCTGGTGGCCAGTATGGGGATCTTGCTTCATCAGCTTGTGAGCTTAAGTTCTGGCAAGTGCCCTTTTCTTCCTTGTGCCTTCCTCTTTTTCAGGGATGGATCTAAATTCACTTTTCTATCAGGAACCTTCTCGGACAGCTGTATGAATCCAAGTTTGCTGCCCATGGCTACTCTATGGGGCAAATCTTGGCATTCAGCCCAAAGAGCATCAGTACCTTAAGCCTGAGGGTGATGGAGAATGAATCAATCCATTCCTTCCTAATCCTATCTCTAATATATAAATTTTACATGGGGGCGGGTTGACCACTTAAGTCATTAGGACGGTCACCAATCTCCAAGACTCCCGTGACAGGTTTCTTTTCCTAAGGCTGGATTGGCATCCCTCCCTATGGCTCCTGACCACACTCTGAACCGTGGGAAAGTCCCAATTGGGACTCTGGTTCATGGAAAGTACCAAATTCTAACCTTTGGTTGAGTATGGGAACCCCTTGGGAGAATGGCTCCAGGATGCAATTGGGTGGAATGTCCCCCAGCTGGCAGAAAATTCTTCACTGTTTTTCTCTATCCTTTTCTCTGTGACCATTCACCAGGCACCTATTACTGCTAGGCATAATGGGGAAGGTATACAAGGGATGCAATGCTGGAGGATGCCCCCATCACCCCTTGCTATAGGAACCCCACAGGAGGAACAATGGGTAGGACGATGCCGTAGCTTCAGGGGGATTTCAAGGTAATGGACCCTTTTCTTTTATCTCAAAGTTACAGTGGCCATTTTCGGTTCCTTTTGAGCTTCACAACCCAGAAACAAAAATCTTTAAGGAGTCAAAGCCTCCACCCCTGGGAGCCCCCCACTCTGGCTTTCCGGGCCTGATCACCCCAGCAACCCCAAGTGAGGTGCCCTCTCTTGGCAGTTGACTTGTTGAGTATTTTAGGCACCTGCTGAATCGGTTATGCAGATAGGAAACCTGTGATTCATTCTGTGAACTGTCCTGCTGGGCTGTGTGCCCCAGCACAGGAAATGTTGTATGACTCTTATCTTGATAACCCTCTGGAAGAGGCCATGAGAGCAAGGCCTCGTCTCCTCTTTTCCTTTCTTTGTCTGTCTTGTTCATCACCTCCTCTGTTGTCACCAAGTTCTAGGTTAAATTCAGGCTGGACCTGAGCAGAACCTGGACCTTCTGTAAGAACAAAAACTTGAAAACCTTTTGCCAGGAACTTAACCCTCAACCCCAGTGCTTGGAGCCTCAGCCCCCAGCCAACTCCAGGCCTTTGCTTCCTCCTTTCTGGCTTGCTTTGTGCTGGCTGAGGGACTAAGTGCCCTGGCTGAGCCGGACTTGACTAAATCTTATAACTATGTTGACTCCCACAATTTGCCTCTACACCCTTTCTCCAGCCACTGTCAGACACCAGCTTTACTGCCATGGGGAACTCCCCAAGCATCCCTGGCGACTCACCACCTGGGTGCATTTTAACTAGTTGGAAATGTTTTCAATTGGATGGTTTGTGCCCCAGAAACTCCATCTGGGAGAAAACTTGAGTGCTTTCTCTGTGCTGTTGTGATGTAGTTAACTCCAAGAACTGAAGAAAAAAAATGGAAAAAGGAAAAAACAGCCATAAGCATGCCCTTGAAAAAAAAAATCTAGCATCTTAAATGTCTTCTCCACAAATATTGGTAAAAAGGCTTACAACAAAATTTGGATTCATAACTAGGGAGCTTTATGTTACTGTACCTGATTTGGTAGTAATTTTTAAAACAATAGCTGTGGAGATTCTGTGTATGTGTGTCTGTATGTATGTTATATGTGTGTGGCATTTTACCTCCTGATGGTATGGCCAAAATCAAGAGCTCTGTTTAATTGGCTTAAAGTAAGCACTTACATAAATTCTAAATGTAATAGAAATTAACCCGATGTCTTTCAAGTTAACATGATATAGATTAATCTTTGGTAAATGAAAGCTGTTTAAGTTTGTTGGTTGGATTGAAATAGGCATGTCCTCTGAGTTGTTGGTATTTGGATACGATGCAGCCATGCAGCCTGGGTTTACTAGTCAAACAAGCTCACGTTGTCTATTAGAAATTAGTCAGTAAAACAATAGCTTTAAATGATGGCTAATTTTGTCTAATGTCTCATGAAGTTTTCATGGGTAATCTGAACATAATGGTTGGAAACGTGATTTAAATGGACAAAAATGGGTACGAGTTTTGGGGTACAATAATTATATTTTATGTTCTGTAGACTTGGGGAAAAAAACAGCTTCCCAGTTCTTTTTAGTAACTTAAAACATTAGAGTTTTGCTAAATTAAGTTAAATGATAAAAAATCTGAGAATCTGAGGCATTTTTGGATAGGACGGAACACAAACATTATTGCTAAACGTGTCTAAGTTTTCTACTTTTGGCTTCTTATTGCGGAGAGGCTAAAGGATGTTTGGGTCTATTAGCATACATAGCTGTGTTTTATTACCATGAAGTAACATATTTCTGGAAATTATGAAAAGTGTTTAGAATGCTGATATAAAAGGCAGTTCATAATTGCTTGGTTTTTTTAGTCTTTACTAGGGTCTGTTAGGGTTTAAAAATTGTAATTAATATATGTAATTAAAGCTACTGGAAATTAATAAGGAAAACAGCTCTGTATTCAAGGAAAGTAAAAATGTATGTTTTCAATAAAGAGGGTATAAAGAATGGAAGTTTTTTTGTTTGTTGGGTTAAGAAAGACAAATTTGTCCTAAAGTACTAGAAGGGAAGAAAGAAAGCATGGGACAAATTCTGAATCTAAAAATAAAATTGTGGAAGGTTTGTGAAAGAGAAATTCAGAAAGGAGTTTTATGCCTGGTCAAGTTGGCTAAGATTAAAATAAATCCAATTAAGTAAATGAGTTTTAATGTTAAAAATAAGCTGGTGTAGACATTAAAATTTGGTTTTCTCTCAAAGGGTAATTTTCTTGAACTTTTGGCCTGCTGTAACTCTACCTAAAAGACAGAAAATCTATGTTTTGCTAAAATAATTTCCTATGTGCAGAAAGAAAGAGGTCTCTCTTAAGATTTTTTGATTGTTTTAACTGCTCTTGACTGTTTCTGTTGTCACTTTGAATAGACACCTGAGCATTGTTTCACAATGAGCATTGTTTCTTATTTGAACAGGTGTTTTAAAATCTTTTGACATTTTTGACAAGCTTCTCCCTCAAAAAATACTCAAATCCTGAATGAAGGACCTTATAAATCAGCTAAGAGAATATTAAGATCAAGATCCAATTATATAGACTGTATGAACTGATAAGGATGATTATAATTTTTTATGACTTTTGTGTAAAACATTGTTGATTTTGATGTTTTGTTTTCTCAGATTTAAGGAAATCTTTTTCTCTTTTCTCTTATGCTCACTACTTATAGCAATTTGGTGAAATTATACCTTTGTAAGTAGAGCTGAAACATTTATCTTTTTCTCCCTACCCGATCCCTCCAGAATTTGGAAACTCAGTGAGTGAGTGAGTATGGTTATTTCCTGGCAATATAGTTATTTGCATAAATTCAATAGGAATCTGTTCTCCTTATAACAGGACACGTTGGTTATATTACCAAGGCTTTGACTGGAATGTCATATTTGAGAGAAACATACAGACTCAGATATGACAAGACAGCTTTTCAGGAACAAAGATTGGACTTTCTGGAATAAAGCCATTTGGAAATATTGGCCTGGTACCTTGTTTACAGAGATTCTGGCAATCTTACCTGGTAGGTAAGGAAGCTCACTTAGCTGGCAGGTGCAAAGAACCTCAAAATATTTTGGGGGACCTCGAGAAGAGAGGAGTCTACCCAAATCTGTGGGTACTGCAGGCAAAATCTGACAGCAAGTCCTTGGCTGGGCTTTTCTGGCCTTGAGAGGCCTTTAAAGTTCAATCCGTGATTCCTTATTTTAAAATTCCAGCAAAGCAGATTTGAAAGAGCCTATATGATTAATTGCTATCCTTGCTGCACTTATGTGAATACTTGGACCAAGTTGTATTGAAACTACATTTATTTTGCGAACCAGTTTATCTTAATTTGGCTATTTTTTGTAAAAGTGAGGGTGATTTTAGAGACAAAAATTATGTTTCAGCAGAAGCTATAGTACACATTCATGGATATTAGATTCTAGCTCTTCTCTTCTACAAGATTCGTCTATTACTAACCATAATGTCTCCTTGTGGCCATCCATCTCTGATACCTGGGAGTTCCCTGGCCACAATCAAATCTTTTCTTTTGACTCTACGGCCCAAATACTAACTAAATTTGCCTTGTCACAGGTGGATCATAAACGGCAAGTTCCAAAGGTAAAGTCCCCAACCTATCAATACACAGGATGGACTATATCAAATTTGGGCCGAATATATTTGGCTCACTCCTACTAGTCATCAACTCAGTCAAAAGGGCACTCTATGTTGGGAACAAACCAATCACACTTGTGTTACGTGGCCTAATAGCACCTGACCTATGCGACAAATTCCCCATTGCATGTGTTCTCATATCATAGCCTTAAAAAATACTGATTGGTTTGTGACTAACTGGGATAGACAGCCCAGCACACGTTGGTTAGCCCCTAACGGCACTCAACAGTTATGTGGCTCCAACTTATGGCCTTGGCTGCCGCCTGGATGGATTGGATGATGCACCCTAGGCTTTGTCTGCATGCAAGGTAGAACTACATTTACTATATCTCCTCCTGCTAACCTACCCAACCTGCAACAGTGCTGGACACATTCTGTCTTCCACTGGTATGATCACCTTGCCTCAATTTTCCTTCCCCACTTAGGAATCGAAAGTGTCGTCTGGCACCTGGAAGCCCTAAACAAATTTCCTATCTGATATGAGCCACCAAATTAAATCCATGTTTGACCCCAGCCTATCCCGAAATGATTGGTTGAACTCCTGGTCAGGACCAGGTCTCTGGACTACTACCAAAGTCTTATTCATTAGGTTAATCATATTGCTTGTATTTCTTATTATAATTTGTTGTCTATTGTTTATCTTCCACATGTCAACAAAGTTTCGCCTCCTGGACCACTTCTGATCAAATGATTCTCTCATCTCCAGAGGATCTGTAACCTTGTCAGCCTTGGACTCCCTGGGCACAACATTCCCGTCCACTGAACTTCCTGCCTCTACCTTATGGCCCCCATTTAGGGACAGCTCTACGACCTTGCACAGCTGGAAGTAGTTACAAAAGATTGACCATTGTCCATATCCCCAAAAGTTTTCAGGGCCAAATGGGTTCAGGGGGTGTTTTATAATGAGAATCAAGCCTGCCCCAGGGAAAAAAGCCCAAGGCGTCCTGCGCTACATACTGATCTATGTCATCCTCCGGGAAGCATAGGAGGTCCTGACCTGATCTGATCTGAGTCTTATCTAAAGTTATAGGACCAC